GTTATGTAGAGGCAACTGAGGACAGCACAGGGGTGGGGGAAACCACGCAGTAACTTGAAAAAAAAATTGTTTATTAAGCATGTGGAGATAGGAACATGTTTTTCTTTTTCTGTCTTTGTTCTGTTTTGTTTTTTAGCAAGCTAGCAATGTGATTGTGATTGTTTAGATGAGAATGGCCCCTCAGAGGTTTGAATGCTTTGATCCCCTGTTAGTAGAGCTGTTTGCCCAGGATTTGGAAGTGTGGCCTTTTTGAAAGACTTGTGACACAGGAGGTGGACTTTGAAGTTTCAAAAGCCCAGGGCAGGCTCATCTCACTCCCTTCTCTTTATATATATATATATATATATTGTCTTGCAGTCTTCCTATCTCTATCTCATAGATATCCTGCTCTCTCAGGCACATGGGATGTTCTTACGGGAGCAGGCTGGCTGCTGATCCGGAGAATTTTTTTTAAAAGCAAACAGGACATTCCCCCAGGAGCATGCTAGCTGCGTGTTTTGAGGAGGGGGCCTGTAGGGTCTTTCATTTCCCCCTTTTTCTTTTTATTATTGAGTTAAATCTTTTATTCAAAGCAATTACAGAACCTCGGTATCTTGTTGTGGTAACATGTGATACTGATGGGTCAGTACTAGGGCCTGAATGACTGACAGCCTGTCTTTTATAAACTGGACCAGGCAGTTTAAGATGCAGGGCCCAAACAGGAGTAGCAGAAGGAGGATAATCAAGAGACCCATCAAAGAAGACAATAGAGTTGTAAAGCCAGGAGATATATTAAAGCATCCTTTGAACCATCCTTGTGATTCGAACAGTTTTTGTCTCTGTCTTATCCTCTTTCTAAGCTTTGTTATATTGTCTCTCACCAGCCCAGTGTGGTCCGCATAGAAGCAGCATTCCTCTTTGAGTGCTGCACATAACCCTCCCTCTCACAAGAACAACATGTCTAGCCCCCTCCTGTTTTGTAGGACTACCTCTGAGAGGGAGGTTAATGACTTTACTAGTGCGCTAACCGATTCTTCCAGTGCCTTGATATCAGTATGCATGGCTGCCTGAAGTTGTCTAAATTGGCTGGTCTCCATAAGAGCGGTGGTCCCTGTGCACACCCCTGCCGCTACCCCCCCCCCATAGTGATGCCTCCCAGCAATAAGGCCAAAGTTATGGAGGCTGGTTCTCTGTAACCCTCCAGGTTACATTGAAAACCTGGTGCAGGCTATTTTCTTGTGTTGCCATCCCCAGTTTTAGTAGGGCCCATGTAATGGTCAAAGGGCCCCACGGTAAGCCTTATCTTTAAGGGGTTTTGAGTGCATTGGATTCTCCATGCTGGGGTCGTGGCGGGCTCTGCTTTCTCAGCTGTATGGGCGGCCTTCACGTGTGAGGCGTGGATCCAGGCTGCGATGCCGTCCACCTTCAGTGTCATTGGGGTGGTCAGAAGGACAGTGTAAGGGCCTTTCCACCGAGGTTCCAAGTTCTTGGTCTGGTGTCTGCGGACCCAAACAGTATCTCCTATCTGGAAGGGGTGCGGTACCACGGGCTGGTTCAGTTGGTATCAGTAAGCAGCGGCAAGTGGCTTCCAAACCTCTCTTTGCACAATCTGTAATGCCTGTAAATGGGCTTCCAGAGAAGGACTGTCAGCAAAATCGGCAATGTTTGAATCAAAAAAAATTATAAATGGGAGGGGGGAGCTCCATATAGGATTTTAAAAGGTGTCAGTCCATGAGGCCCCAGAGTGTTGCGGGCCCTGTACAGGGCCAGTGGTAAGAGGAGCACCCAGTCTCTAGTGCCAGTTGCAAGCGTTAATTTGGATAAGGTCTCCTTAATTGTTCTATTCATGCGTTCTACCTGCCCTGAACTTTGGGGTTTATATGCACAATGTAATTTCCCTTCGACCCCTAAGAGTTTGGCCACCAACTGACTTACCTGGGAGACGAAGGCGGGGCCATTATCGGTGCCTAAGACTTGAGGCATTCCATACCTGGGAAAGATTTCTTCCAAGAGCTTTTTTGTCACCACCTTTGCGGTTTCGTGTTTGGTGGGAAAGGCTTCCACCCATCCTGAAAAAAGTGTCTATGAACACCAAGAGGAATCTGTAGCCATAGAGACCTGGCTTGACCTCCGTAAAGTCAACCTCCCAATGTACTCCTGGACGATGTCCCCGTGCCCGAACTCCTGGACCAAGCTTGGTTCTGCCTGCGTTTACCTGAGCGCAGGCTCGGCATTCATCAGTCACTTTTTGCAGGGCTCCATCCCTGTTCAGGTGGTGTTGGCCTGACTCCTGTCTGTCCAACAAGGTTTTCATCTTCTTTGGCCCCAAATGGGTCAATTTATGTATGTAGTCTATTATTTTATAAGTATGTTTTGTTGGCATAACAATCTTTTCCTTAAAAACCCAATGTTGCTTTTTGGGGTCATATGTGGCCCCCATTTTCTTTAGGAGATCGATGTCCTCTGTACTATAGGGTAGTGAACTGGCCCCAGCCTCTTTTGGGTTTATCAAGGGGAAAGCTTGGGAGGTCTTTGTTGATTTCATAGCAATCTCTCGAGCAGTGTCATCTGCCAGTCTATTTCCCTTTGCCTCAGGGCTATGGCCTTTTTGATTCCCAGGGCAGTGCATAATACTTAATTTTTGGGACAAAAATAAGGCCTTTAGGAGTGCCAGTATCTCAAGTTTGTTTTTAATTTCCTTTCCTTCTGAGGTCAGCAGCCCTCGTCTTCGATAAATTTCCCCATGTATGTGAGCTGTGGCGAAGGCATATCGGCTATCTGTATAAACATTTAGCCTCTTACCTTCTGCCATCTGGAGTGCCTGGGTCAGAGTGATGAGTTCAGCCCTCTGGGCAGAGGTGCCTGCGGGGAGGGCTTCTGCCCAAATTACCTCAGTCTCCGTTGTCACTGCCGCCCCCGCTCTCCGTTCCCCATTCTCCAGGAATCTGCTGCCATCCGTATACCAAGTATAGTCGGCATCTTGGAGAGGTTGATCCTTCAGGTCCGGCCTGGTCCCGTGTATTTCCGCGAGGATCTGGAGGCAGTCATGGTGTTCTGCTTTCTCCGGCACGGGGAGCAAGGTCGCGGGATTAAGAACGACCACATGTCCGAAGTGCACCCAGTCCGTATCCAGGAGCATAGCTTGGTAATGGGTCATGCGGGCATTAGAGAGCCAGCGGTCTGGAGGCTGTTTGATCAGGGCCTCCACTGCATGGGGCGCCAGGATAGTCAATGGCTGGCCCAGAGTCAGTTTACCCGCGTCCTTGGTGAGGACTGCAATAGCTGCTACCATTCACAGACAGGGCGGCCACCCTGAAGCTACTGGGTCGAGTTTCTTTGAGAGGTAAACTACAGGACGCCTCCAAGGGCCCAGTTTTTGAGTTAGGACCCCTTTAGCGTAACCCTGTTTTTCATCCACGAACAAATCGAAAGACTTGGTAATGTCAGGGAGGCCTAGAGCAGGGGAGGCTAACAAGGCTTTCTTAATGTTTTCGAAAGCCCTCTGTTGGTCCTCTCCCCAATCAAACATTATTCCTTGTTTAGTTAATGGATACAAGGGTGCAGCCATCTCTGCAAACCCTGGGATCCAGAGGCGGCAGTATCCCACTGTTCCCAGGAACTCTCTTAGCTGGCAGGGGTTCTGGGGGGCAGGAATGTTAGTGATAGTCTGTTTGTGTGCCTCGGTCAGCCATCTCTGTCCATCTTTTAATTGATAACCTAGGTAACTGACTTGCTTCTGGCATATCTGAGCCTTCCTGGCTGATGCCTGATATCCTGCTTGTCCCAATATCTGTAGGAGGGCCTTTGTACCCTCCTGACATTCTTTCTCCGAAGCAGCCGCCAGAAGGAGGTCATCTACATATTGGAGCAATGTCAGGGCAGGGTACTGAACCCGAAAGTCTGCCAGGTTCCGGTGTAAGGCCTCATCAAAGAGGGTCGGGCTGTTCTTGAACCCCTGGGGGAGCCGTGTCCAGGTCAATTGACCCGAAAGTCCAAGATCTGGGTCCTTCCATTCAAAGGCAAAGAGGGACTGGCTCTCCGGATGCAGCCACAAGCAGAAGAAGGCATCCTTTAAGTCTAATACAGTATACCAAACGTGGGATGGTGGCAGAGTGCTCAATAAGTTGTAGGGGTTGGGGACCATGGGGTATATGTCCTCCACCCTTTTGTTGACCTCCCTCAAATCCTGCACTGGCCGGTAGTCCCCAGTCCCCGGTTTCTTTACTGGTAAAAGGGGGGTATTCCATGGTGACCAGCAGGGAGTGAGAATGCCCTGATCCAGCAGTCTTTTTATGTGGGGCCTTATGCCATGATATGCTTCATGGGACATGGGGTACTGCTTGATTGAAACAGGAGTAGCTGTTGCCTTCAATTGAATGATGAGTGGAGGTTGTTGTATAGCCATCCCCATTCCCCCAGTCTCTGCCCATGCCAATGGAAAGTCATTGAGCCAAGGGGCCATGTCAATTGTCTGTTGCCCCGGGGGCTGGTAAAGTCTATATTCATCCTCCAGCTGGAGGGTCAAAATTTGGAGGGGACCTCCATCTGGGCCCGTTATCTTAGCCCCTGTGTCCTCGAAATGAATTTGGGCCCTTAGCTTGGTGAGGAGGTCTCTACCCAACAAGAAATAGGGACAGTCCGGAACATGCAGAAAGGAATGCATCACCTTACCAGTAGCCAGCTGAACCTTCCGATTAGTTGTCCATCGATATCTCTTGCCACCAGTGGCTCCTTGGACTCAAGCAGATCGTTCGCTGAGTGGCCCTGAAGTCTGGGTCAGGACTGAATGCTGGGCCCCGGTGTCTACTAGGAAGGTGACTGGTTGCCCCCCGAAATCAAGAGTTATCCTGGGCTCGGGGGGGGGGGGGGGGGGCTCCTGGCCCTAAGTTCCCTAATCCTCTAAGGTGAGGAGGGAGGTTTTGGGCCTGGGCTTCCTAGGTCCTTTGTTCCTCCTGGGGCAATCCTTAATCCAGTGTCCTTGTTCTTTACAATAGGCGCATGGGTCTCTGTCCACCTTGGCCCTACGTCGTTCTCCCTCCTGTCTCCCTCTCTATTCTGTCCCTGAACCACGGTGGCCACACCCTAGTTAATTCCTTGTTTCTCCTCTTGTCTCTTTCATCCTCCCCATCTTTCATTCTCTGCCATAATCTTTCCTCTTTTTCTTCTGGAGTCTCTCTCTTATTGAAAATCTTCTCTGCCTCTTTTAGTAAGTCTTGTATAGTATATCCCTGGAGACCCTCAAGCCTCTGCAATTTGCTTCTAATATCCAGACTAGACTGCCAAATGAAAGACATGGATACACTTGTAGCTTGCCCTGGATCTTCAGGGTCATAGGGGGTATACATCCTATAAGCGTCCTTGAGCCTTTCTAAGAAGGCTGAGGGCGTCTCTTCATTTCCCTGTATTACTTGCTTAATCTGGGCCAAATTGGTGGGGCGGCGTGCTGCCCCTCGGAGACCCACGATTAGCAACTGGCGATAGAGGCGTAGGTGTCCCCTACCTGCAGTTGTGGTGAAATCCCAGTCAGGTCGCGTCAGAGGGAAGGCCTCGTCAATTTCGTTAGGCAAAAGGGTTGGGCTACCACTGTCACCTGGGACATTTCTCCGAGCCTCCAAAAAGACTCTTTGCTTTTCCTCTGATGTCAGCAGGGCTTGCAAGAGTTGCTGGCAATCATCCCAAGTGGGCTGGTGGGTGACTAAAATAGACTCAATCAGGTTAGTCAGTGTTATTGGATCTTTGGAGAATGGGAGGTTTTGGTGTTTCCAATAGTATAGATCTGAGGCAGAGAATGACCAGTATTGCTGTCGGCCATTTGGGCCCTCTCTCAAGGGTAGGGCATGAGTAGTGGAATCAGGGGGTGGTTCGCGCCTTCCCCGGAGTCTTCCCGCCATGGGTGAAGGGGCTGGGGAGACTTGTGCAGGCTGTCCACCCGCCGCTGCAGTCTCTGGCCCATCCAGACTCTCTGGATCCTTTGGATCTGCATAAGGAGGGGGTTCTTCTGATAGAAGGTCAGTGAGGGGAGAGTCAGGGTTCGGAGGAAGGACGGGAGGGGGCGCAGGGGTAGGTTTCGGAGGTTTTTCTTTGGGAACCTTCTCCTTAAGAATGGTGGGATATAGGAAAGAAGAGGGTGGGACAGGGGAAGGTGCAGTAGGGAGAGGCACAAACTGTTGACTCTCTGGGGGAGGGGGAACCTTAGGGGCTGTAGGGGTAAGAGGAGGTTGGTGTTTGTTAGAGATGTTGTTAGAGATGACAAAGGGCTGGGCCCATAGGGGCGGGTCACGTGCCAAACTTTCTCAGGTAAAAGTGTAGGCGTTGATCCGGGTGTCCATGTGGTCCTGGGCTGAACACTTTTGCCTTAACCTGGGAAATAATATTGAGATTGAAAGTGCCATCTCTTGGCCATTCTGCCCCAACAGTAGGCCACTTGGACGAACAAAAGATCACCCATTTCTTCTTTCGAACATCGACTGACAGGTTGTCGGCTCGGACGCAGACGTCAGGCCAGTGGTCTAAAGTAAGGCTTAATGGGGTGGTTAGGGTTTGTCCCATCTTCTCGAAGAGAAGGGAACCAAATATAAAAACAAAACAAAACAAAACAAAAAAAAAAAAGCCACACAAAGACAGAGACAGAACAGATGCGCAGCACAGCTCCGGTGTAAAACCGAAAGCAAAAACCTAAACGGAGGCTCTGAGGGTCCGGATCCCTCTCCTCCAACTAGAACCGCGTATCCTTCGGATATGGGCTGAGCTCCGAAGAATCGGGCTCCAGATGTCCTTGTGGACTGACTCCGATGTCCGTGGAACATCTTCCAGGACTGTGGGGGAGAAGTCCCAGGCTCGTCAGCCCCCTTCCCTCAACCAGGTACAGCGCACTCAGACCTGAGTGTACAGAATTCGACAAAGAACACGGAAGACCCTCAACAGAGAACACAGAAGACAACTGAACAAAGAACACAGAAGACAACTGACTCGGAGCTGGCCAGCTTACCTCCTGATGGTGAGTTGGTGGTCCCTGGGTGGGGGGTTCTCAATTCCCTGCCAACGCACCAAATGAAAGACCCTCGACGAGGACCTTTTTTGGGAGGAAACCTCCCCAACGCCAAGGAACAGGCCGAGACCGCACGGATGCAAATCGCAAGAGGTTTATTGAGTAGACACAGGTACCTGCGGGCGGCAAGATCTCTCGGAAGACTTGGCACCTGCCAACTGGAGGGCGGGCTTCTTATAGGGGAGAGCAAAAGCAAGTTTACAGAAGCAAAAGCGTGGTTATCGGTCGACTGGAATGAGGCTGGAGCATGAATGGTTTCCTCTCTCAGCATGGATGCCTGGCAACAGTCATCCTCTTCCTATCTTATTATAGCTAACCTGCTTTGTTGATGTCCTATCTTATTGACATCTTGCCTTGCAGTCTTCCTATCTCTATCTCATAGATATCCTGCTCTCTCAGGCACATGGGATGTTCTTATGGGAGCAGGCTGGCTGCTGATCCGGAGAATTTTTTTTTTTTAAAGCAAACAGGACATTCCCCTGGGAGCATGCTAGCTGCGTGTTTTGAGGAGGGGGCCTGTAGGGTCTTTCGATATATATATATATATATATATATATATATATATATATTGAAAATACACACACACATACACACACACACACACACACAACACCCTGCCTCTGGATCAGGACGTGAGCTCTCAGCTCCTGCTACAACTGTGTCTGCTTACTGCCATGAAAATCACTTACTAAACTTCTACAACTCTAAGCAAGTCTTAAGTTTAAATGTTTTCTTTTAAAAGAATTGTCTTTGTCATGATACTGTTACTCTTTGGCTTGGTCATTGCTCTTCATAGCAAAAGAATAGTAACAAGTTATGATCTAATATCTTAATTTTGTTCATATTCTGAGACTTTTCTTTTACTTTGTATGGCATCTGGGAAAGGAGAAAGTGAATTAGTTGACAATTATTACAATAATTAGACTGAAATATCTTAAATAAAAGCTTTAGCTTTTATTCTAGAATCAGCAATATCTTATTAAACAAAGTAGAAAGGGTTTCTGACGAGACAAGCAGATGTTGGTTTCATACACAGAGAAGTCAGAAAAGGCAAAATGAGAGCAAGGGAGTTGCTCATCTCAAAGTTAGGAACAATCTGAGACATACAGGAGGACAGAAATAGTGAAAAAAAAAACTGATTTGGTGAACATCACCCTGCATCTTTTTGTGTAAGTGCTACAGCAGAGAGATGCACAATTATTATGCCACTTAAACTGGTCTATCTGATATATTTGGAATTTGCTTCTTAATATCTATGAAGGTCAGGCAACAACTTAGTTTTGGTTAATTGACATGAAAATTTAGCCTATGTGACTCCATTTTTTATTTTCTCTTCCTGTGTAGAGAGTCTGGAGTAGGAGCTTTCTATCACACAGGGCCTCCTGCAGGGGAGTAAGGAAAGGGATCCACTCTGACTGTCATTGGTTAAGCCCACTACTCTACTTCACAGATCCAAAACTATCTCTGAAATATTTCTCTTTCGGGGTTAGGGAAGTATCACTAACATGATTCAAATAGGGCAGATGCTGGTGTTCAGGAGCCAGCACAGACCAAGGTATTTATTTATTTATTTTTAATGAGGTAAGAGTAACACTGATATTTTTTAACATAAAGTAGCACTTTTAAAAAGGAAGTCAGGACCGAGAGGGGTGCGCCCACCCACTGAGACAGTGGGGCTGATCTAATGGGAACTCACCAAAGCAAGCTGGACTGGGACTGATGGAGCATGTGATCAAACCAGACTCTCTGAACTTGGCTGACAAGGAGGGCTGACTGAGAAGCCAAGGACAATGGCACTGGGTTTTGATCCTACTGCATGTACTGGCTTTGTGGGAGCCTAGCTTGTTTGGATGCTCACCTTCCTAGACCTGGATGGAGTGGGGAGGACCTTGGACTTCCCACAGGGCAGGGAACTCTGACTGCTCTTTGGACTGGAGATGCAGGGGGAGGGGGATTAGGGGAGGGGCATGGAAATGGAGGATTGGAGGAGGTGGAAATTTTTAAGTGAACATATATATATATGTTTAAAGGTTACTCTAAATTGTCCCTAATTTTTTTTTCTTTCTACTTCAGTCTCTAGTAAAAACCATGTACATTAGTATTTAGTACCAGCTGTGGGAATTGTTTACTAGAACCTTTAACCCCGTACTGGTTAGCAAATCTTCACTATCAAAGTACTAATGTGTAAATGTCTTCCAGTAAATGTTGTAGAAATAGTTGTGACTTTGATGTTTAGGAGATAATGATGAGGAAAAAAAGACTGTGCTTTTTCACAGAGGTACAGCCAGCAACCCAGCATAGTGGTACTGCTTTCTGAAGCCCTGTGTGTACCAGAAGACAGACTCAGAGGTATTCTCTAGACACAAGGGAAGAACTTCTGAGGAAGAGAGTCTTCCTTAGCTGCAGTGGGATGTCTGAGCTAGTCTGGTGTAGAGGCCTTGGCTTGAATGTCCAGGAGTTTGCTGCTTTCTTCAAGTACTATGGTTGTAGAAAAGAATACATTAGCTTTTTTCAAAAACAAAACAAAACATGCAAGCTGTTAAAATGCATGTGTGTGCGTGCACACACACACACATACACACACACACACACTCACACATGTGGAACATTTTTTAAACTGGAATAACACTTTTGATAGCTTTAGGAATATGTCATCAATTTGCATCTCATCATTTTACATTTATCATTAGTTTGTCACATTAAGATTAATTTGTGGCCTAATAGCTGCCCACTGGACTGGGCTAAGAGTGTTTTAGTCATTGTCTACTAAATTCTAAATTCTGGATAATAATTAATACAGCTTTAAAAGTTACACGATTCATTCACATATATTTATAAACAATCTGCACTTAACATAGTTAAAATATAAAATGACACTGGCAAAAAATATCCAGAAAGTGCTTTACATGGGGAATAATAATCACATATAAATTTCCTTCTCATTGATCTATTTATTAATAAATGAGCTGGTAGTGGGTTTCAGAGTGTTTAATACTAAATGCACTTATTAATTATTGTCATGTTTAAAAGTCAACAAAGCAGTGACTCAACATACTAAACATCCTGTGTGAGTACACAGAATTATTCTTCAATCATAATTAACATATCTCTCTTTTACATTTTGTCCTTATCAGTGGTAGTAGAATATTGTGTGGTCTCTGAGAACAGTTATTAGCCCAAAAGCTTTGTACCCAATCATATGCAAGATAGAAGCTAGGGCTACTAAATGTACCTGCTCAGCTGAAGCACAGACATGATTGATGGGTTTGTTTGGTGTTGTATTTATTTTATTGCAGAGGAATAAGAAATAGTTGAATTACTTATAGCAGATGAAAACTGACTGAAAGAGTAAAACCAGGTCCTGTCACTCCCTTCCTAGACAGAGTACAGAAAATGTGTTCCTGTTAGTGTACACCTGCTTTCCTGCTTAGCAGATTTTGTGCTAACCATTCTCTATTGTTCTCAGAGTGAAAAAGGTCTGTGTCGTGAGGCCCAGAGGCACTAGAGGATTTATTTTGCTTCTGAATTGCAAGGAAACCTGGTAATTGTCCATCATTTGAAAAGGATTTGGAAGTATGATGGATAGTCATCACTTATGTTAGTTAATGACTCAAGGGCCACCCACAGTGGTGACTAATGACAGAGCAGCTGTAAAAGGCACACTAGCTCCTCATCAGATAGTCCAAGTGCCCCTTCCAGGGCTCAGTCTGTCCAGGAGTGAGCATCAGGAAGTGGCTCATTATTCCCTCTTATGTAATGGCTTGCATGCAATCCTTTTGCTGCTGGGCATGGTGGAGAATCAGTTCTTTTGTTGTTCCTGTTGCTATTTCTTTTCCTGTTCATGTGGGTTTCCACTGAATTTGTTCCCTCAGATAAGCAGTGAGGAACAGGAAGAAAATCACTTGCCACTGAAGTCTCCCTACATACAAACCATCTCTGCTGAGAGAACCAATTCAGCAGCTTTTAGTTCCAGTTTTGGTTTTCTGTCTCAAACATGCAGGTTCCTAGTGACTTTAAATTTTTTTTGTTGTTACTGAGAAATAAGACACTAAATTAAAATGGTCACAAGGTAGATGACATCCCAGTTGACCAATTCCCTCACCCTCTGCAACTCCCAAATCTGTGTAGCTCTGGCCTAGAGCTCCACCAGTGGAATGGACAAGAGTTTCCCCATGCATACCTGAGAGGGAACATGCTTTCTGCTTTCCCGGTGACAGGGCAAAAGCGTTTCTCTCTGCTCTCAGTAATGGATGAGGCCAATATATTGTCTTGCCCTGGTTGAACATTTTGGAATCATGTGCTCATCACTCAAGCCACCCTCTGTACATTGTCAAAGGGAATTTTTTTAATGCTTTCATTGCTCTAGCTCGTTCAGGCACATCATTTATGTGGCATGGCTGGCAAGGTTTTACAAGCTAATGCAATTTGCATTAAAAATAGCTGAAAATGGTAATAGTCATTATAATGCCTATTTGACCAAGAACAAGTAATGGCTTGCGAT